ACCCACTGCTCATCTCCACCAGGCAAAGAGTATGAAGGAAGTGTGGGCAGCTGTGATTGTAGGTGACAGGAGAGCAAGCAAGTGGGCAGAGGAAACTGGTGGGGGCATGAAAGAAAGGGGGGCTAGTAGTCAGCATTGGGGGCCTGAGTAGTCTCTGCCCAGGGCCACTCAAAACCTAGAACCATCCCTGTTCAGTGGCATATACTGGGGTGTGCACACAAAAATTGATATTTTTCAGGTTCAGGTATACCAAACCACAAAAATATCAGTATATACCAATATTCCCAAATCCCAGTATCGGCATGATATTGGGATTTGGGAAATAATTGGTATTGCTGAATTTATTTGGCTCCACACCTTCACTTTCCTCCCTGAGTTGTGCTGCAGTGGCAGCACGCCTCAGCGACTGAAGGGAACACATTTAAAGAGAGCACATTCATGCCGCCACTGCGGCACGACTCAGGGAACATTCATGCCGCCACTGCGGCGCGACTCAGGGAGGGGAGGGGAGGCATTTATACTTTAAATACCTCCCCTCCCTGAGTTGCGCCACAGTGGCTTTAAATGCCTTCCCTCCTCTCACTAATGCATGCCAAACCATTGTGCAACTTGTTGAGGAAAGGCATGTGTGTGTGTTGGCTTTACAAAAGCCATTTAACGAGAACTTTCCCTTTAAATGGCTTTTGCAAAGCCAAGCTGCATGCAAGGAATCCGGAAGCAGCACAAGTTCACCCAGACGGTGGGTGAACTTGTGCCGCTTCTGCTGAGCCTGAATAAAATATGAGTTGTTGTTCAGTCGCACAGTCGAGTCCGACTCTTCGCGACCCCATGGACAATCTCCCGCCAGGCTCTCCTGTCTTCCGCCGTCCTCCGAAGTTGGCTCAATTTCATGTTCGTTGCATCGCTGACACTGTCTAACCATCTCATCTTTGGCAAAGGATGAAAATATGAGTAATATCAGCTTTTGTTTGGGCTCAGCTGGATCAGTAGCTGAATCAGATTAGAAAATCTGATTCAGCTGAATAAATACCCCAAATATACTGATAAGGTATTTTGGGGTACTTATTCGGCTTGGTATATACCGAGCATACACCCCTAGCACATACCTACTATAGCTTTTAAATTGTGTGTTTGCAAGAAGCGACATTTTCAGAAGAATTCAAATTAGCAGCAGTAGACAGTTCTATCATATAGCAGAAAGAACAGCCCTAATGGGAGGGCAAGTTAAATAGAACAGATGCTCTGGTATCTCCTTCATTATGAATGTCTAGAGTCAGAGTGTGCGTTTGCTTTGGATTTAGAGGAGTGCTGAGACCAAGAACAGAGAAATTACCAATTTTCTGGGGCATTTCCTCTCATAAGTCAAATTGTCAAAAAAGTGTTTACCTTATCATTCGAGCACTGAT